ATTTCCGGAGGATGAGGCCCAGAAATCAGGATTTTAAAAAGATTCCCAGGTGATTCTAATGTGCAGCCAAGGTTGAGAACCACTGCTTTACAGGGAAGCAGACGGGGCGCCATGGAGAGGGGGGTGTTTTCTCGGCGAATTCATGCCGAATCCGTTTGCAAACACGTGGCCCGTGGGCACAATCCTCACGTGCAGGGCGAGGAAGAGGGTGGGTTTGGATTCACTGTGAAGGTTGCCCTGCATAAACAACTGCCTCCTTTTATCTTTTTTTTTTTTTTTTTTTGCAAAAACGTTACAGAAAATAGTTTCTGTCTTTGTCTTGGCGCGTGGACGCTGAGTGTGTGTGGCTGGCCGTACAGAGACCCGAGGGCAGGGGCTGTGGCCTGGGGTTTCTGTTTTATGGGATCACAGCGCCCTGAGCATCTGTCGTGTGCCAGGCCGGTGCTGACTCCACGCTGCAGAAAGGGATTTGCCTGGAGATGGCAGTGGCTAGACTGTGTCTGTGGGGGCTGGGGGGGGGGGCATGAAACCCCCTGGGCAGTGGTTGGACGGAGCGTTCAGTGTGTGCTGTCCTTAAAGAACCCGCAGCGGGAAGAGCTGCAGCCTCGATGGGAGGGGGAGACCAACACCGCAGGACAGTGAGCGCCCAGGATGGGCCGGCGGCCGCCTGTACTCTGCTCCCACGGGCACTTGTGCTCCTACTGATCTGGAATTGTTTTAATTGTCGTAAAGACCTTTTCTGGCCTCTCCAAAGCCCCAAATGCAGGGAATTGCTGTCCCTGCACCGAGTGCTTGTCCGGAGGGAGCCGTGGCCTCGCAGAGCAGGCAGGCAGAGCCCGGGATCGCCACTCGGGGGCAGAGCCGTGGGCAGGGCAGCAAGCCCTCCTGAGCTGTGCTTTCTGCAGCGACGAGTGGCAGTCAGGATGGTCCCACCAGCAGAGCTGCTCCCAACCCTCCTGGTGGAGGCAGAGCGCCCCGGCCGCTCCCCACAGACAGGGCGGTGGCCACGCGCCTGGGGAAAGTGTCAGTCAAAACAGGACCCTTCATTGGGTCCTGACATTCCTGGCCAAAGTCATCACGGCCCTCGGCCCTCGGGAAGGCAGTCAGCAATAAACCAGCCCACACAGCTAAAGCGTCAAAGGTGGGGCCGGCTGCCAGAGGGAGGGATGGAGGGACGGATGGAGGGAGGACCCCCACCTCGCAGCCCGACTCCGCAGCCGGCAAAGGCCTGCAGCCCTGTCCCCCGGGTTGGGCTGCTCGGCCTGGTGAAATGTGAAAGTCACATGTGTGCTGTCACCCCCGTGTGCCGTGTAAGCGTATGAAGTCGCCGCAAGCTGCCCATTCGAGGACACGGCAGTGTTTATTCTTGTCTCGAGGAGAAATACCACAGCAATCGGATGGGAAATGTTAGGGCTGTTTCCAGGCACAGCCATAAACAGCCTTCGCTGCCATCCCAGACCCCCTGCACGTCCCACGGGAGATCGGGGTTCACACGGTAGAGAGGGCCCTTCTCCCCAACACTCGTCACCACTCGTCAGTCAGGCCTCAAGATAGAAGGTGAACATTTCAAAGAACAAACTGGGGAACAGAGCAGCTCTCCGAAGAACCTCGGAGCTGCTCCAAGACGATTTCCACGTCCTCCCCCCGGGAAACCTCATCCCCATGTTGGACACAGAGACTCGCAGCGACTCTGTTCATCGAATGGATCCCCACTATTTCTCTAGTCCTGTACGTGCATCGGCTGCTGGGGCAAGAGGAGGGAGAGGCCCGGAATTCCCTCGATGGGAAGCAGGACTTTCACCCTATGGGGCTGTGGGATTGTGAATTCCGATGGCCGCTTCCTGTCAAATCACATGGCTTCGTCTTTAAAACGTGGTGTCTTACAACTTGTCTCCTGTGAAAGCCCGGACCCAGAGGTAAGCGCCGTTTCAGTTAAAACCAGAGAACCGTCTTCTGTGATTGTGCTGCTGTCTCACGTTTAGGCTATGATTTTCGTATGAGCTTATCGATGACAGATTTCCTTTGTTTACAATCTCCTGTAGGAGGGCTGGGATCACTTCTCAGCTACCCGCCTCCTCTCCCATCTTCACGTGACGCTCCATTGAAAATACTGTTTCAGCCCAACCTAAAAGATTGAACTCAAAAATTGGGGAATTTTTTTTAACTTACATGGAAATGGCCTGTTCTTCTCACAGAATTTCTTGGCGTGGAAACCGGGGCCTGTGGACTACCAGGGCCCAGTCACATTGCTGTCCAGAGCACTACATGATGGGCCCACTGTGTACCTCAAGAGAAACAGGGGACGTTCTGTCTGGAAAAATTCATTGTCGATTTCAATGGTTCTGAAATGTCTATAAATAAAGAAATTTTAAAAGTTGCTTTCCTGCGATTGTTCCTCAGGGAGTCAGGCCTAGAGGTTCTGTGGTTTTCTAGAACTGCTCTTCTCCATCCTCATTAAGGAGAAGGGAACTTGCCCTCGCTGGTGTGGCTTAGTGGATAGAGCGTCAGCCTGTGGACGGAAGGGTCCCAGGTTCGATTCTAGTCAAGGGCACATGCCCCAGTTGCTGGCTCTATCCCCAGTGTGGGGCGTGCAGGAGGCAGCCGATCAGTGATTCTCTCTCATCATTGATGTTTTCTAACTCTCTCTACCGCTCCTTTCCTCTCTGAAATCAATAACAATATATTTAAAAATAATAATGTGATTATTTTTACAATAAATAAAGGAGAAGGGAACTTGTCTGAAGGGAGTCTTAATGCTGCGAGCCCGTTCTATCTGAACAAGAGATGAGACCCCTGTCATTCAAATACCCCGACGGCACTCACACAGAATGCAATGCCTGTGTGATCGGTTAGAGTTAGAACCTGGAGAGTTTTAAAAAAGAGTGTCCATGTTTGCACAGGACAAAGAGAGTACACATCCACAGTGCTGGCTTTTTGCTTCTCAGACCTCTATGCTTCAAGTTACATCTTTATATCGAGCAGAAATGGTGGAGGGTGCTGGAGCAAGGCCTGGGCATGTCATGGCTGTGGCATCCACCTGTAACACCTGTACGTGTTCCAGAAAAGTTAGCCAGTGGAGGTTGGTTAAGCACTTTTATTGTACTCCAGCTAGCATCACGTAGCTCCCCAACATTTATGCCTCAAATTTCTGTCGGTTTTTTTGTTTGTTTGTTTTTTTATCGAGCCTTTGAGTGAGGTTCACTAGGGGAGGATGGGCGGACAATGAGATCAGATGTTCTGACCTCCCCAGCTTCACACCAGAAAGT